GCTGAAGAGGGGGTGAAGGGGGGGGGGGGGGGGGAGGTGGAGGGGTGAGAAAAGATGTTGACAAATACAAGCTAGCAGTTTTGGAAGATGATGATGATGGAATGGATCATGATATAACGGTGTGGAGTTTGTTGCATTTTTTTTTTGGAGTAATCCCTGGAGGACGAAATAGGAAGGGAGAGGAGAGAGAAGAGAGGAGAGGAGAGAGGAGAGAGAAGAGAGGAGAGGAGAGAGGAGGGCGGGCGGGAGGGAGGGAGAGAAACATGGACGACAGAGATGATGATGTGTTCGTGGAGCGTTGCTCGACCGGGGGGGAGGGTGGGGGCAGGAGACAAAGAAGGGAGAAAGAGGAGAGAGGAGAGGAGGGAGGGAGGGAGGGAGGGAAGAGGTGATGATGCGTTCGCGGAGTGTTGGGCGACGAGTAATCTAAAAAGTATTTCTGGAGTTTCAGTGGAGATTTCATGAACGTTCCCGGAGTCTTCCGGTTCTGTTCCTGGACTGTACCTGGACTGCCAAGGATGCATTCATCTGTCAGCGAAGTGCAGCTGAGTGGTGAAAGGTTGAAAGGAGAAAAATATGAGGATAGCATAAATCCGAATTTGGCTTAAGAAGATGGGTAGGCTCTTGGTATATTCATCCTTCCTGGGTCCTTGGCGGATGAAGAAATACTCCCGAGGCCGAAATCAAGCTGGATTCTCGGCTTCTGATAGAATATGAGGGGATGTGTGTGGGAAGTGTCGTTGACAATAAGAGACGAGGTGGTCTTCCTCTGGCTTACGAAGTCGATCGCTCCATTAAAAGAGGAGTAAGGGGAGGAGGGAAAGGAGGAGGAGAAGGGAAGGAGGGAGGGGGAAGAGTGAAGATTCATCAAGGAACTCGGAGAGGGATGGAGAGAGGGGAGTGTCTTTGCGAAATCTGTTTTTTTGTTGACGGCGTCAATAGACGGCCAGGATCGTTCTAATCCCTAAGTCCTTGTTGGGGCGCATAAGACTGGAGGAGGCGGCTTTGAAGGAGGAGGAGGAGGAGAAGGAGGAGGAGGAGGAGGCGCGCGGAGTAGGAGGAGCCCGGGGAAAAAGATGTTGACGCCAACAGAAAGAGCTATGCGTAGCAGTCTGTGTGAGGTTGTTTCCGATTCTTTACTTCGCCTGCTTCGATTTGCGTTTTCTGTTTGTTCTACCACCCCCCTCCGCTGTCCCCCGCCTGTCTCTTATACACATCTAGATGTGTATAAGAGACAGGGCAAGAAGATCCGCTCGGTGACAAGGTCGACGAGGTGGCGACGGGCGAGGAGGGGGGGGGGGGGATGGGCGATGACGTGGCAGGGGAGGAGGGAAGGGGTGAAGCGTTCGATCCTCGGCGTTTTCCCCGAGATTTCGTCATTTATTATGGGGATAACCAAGGTCTGCGAGTCCACGTGGATATGGGCCCCATGCAAGAGGCAATTGGGAGGGAGGAGGGAGGAGGGGGGGAAGGAGAAGGACCAGTAGCAGCAGCAGCAGAAGCAGCAGCAGGAGGAGGAGGAGAAGGGTTAGTTACAGGTGGCGCGTTCTGGAATATGCTTCGTCATCCCGACTTTCCAAGGTTCTTACGGCGGGCCGCCGCCCGCCAAATGGAGGGGGAGGGGGAGGGAGCAGGAGAGGAAGTCGGCATGTCCGAAGAAGAAGGAGAAGAAGAAGAAGGAGAAGGAGAAGAAGAAGAAGATGAAGAAATTCTAATGGACGAATTGCATCGTCTTGATCGTACTTGATGGACAGCAAGATTAATGCGTAAAATTCGTCGGAGAAAAAAGAAAAAACAAG